ATCGTCCCATCCCACTCCACGTCGCACCATTGTTACAAACAGCCTTCATACTAACCGAGTCAGGAATCCTTATGCTGTGTTTCTGCACCTTATACATGTAATGTTACTACTTAATACTTGAATTTCTGGAATTGTTCAAATCAACTCGATACGAATTCAAAGGATTTTGACTTTTTTTGAATTCGAGAAATTGATAAAAAGTCACATTTTCAATTTTGGAATTTTTGTATTCTTTGAATTGAAAAAAATAAAAAGTGCATATCACCGGAACAAAAAAATAAAGTTGGTTTAGAGTTGCTGAAAAGTGATTTTTCGTATTCATCACACTCGATAACCCAGAAGATTTTCTATTTTTGGCCCGGGATACCTCCAAAAGTTTAAGAAAAATTTTGAAACAAAATGGCACAAAAAGTTTTCCAAGGAAAAATAATATTAATTTGAAAACTTTTCCTAAACTTTCGGAAGTACCTCGGGCCAAAAACAGAAAATCTTCTGGGTTATCGAGTGTGCTGAATATGAAAAACCACTTTTCAGCAACTCTAAACCAACTTTATTTTTTTCCGGTGATATGTCTCTCAATTGTTGAATTTTTGAATTGAGAAAAAGCTTAATATTTATTTCTGAGTTCTTTCTGCTAATTCCGAATTTTTAAAATTTCAGAAATAGAAAAATACTCGATGCTAATTCTTGAATTCTTTCTGCTAGTCTTGAAAATTTTATCAACACAGAGTACTATGAATTGCGCTACTGCTTACTCGCCCCAATGGATTACGCTGCAATTTTAAGATTCCATTATGATTGCGGAAGAAAAGAGTTTAACGATATTGCTGATAAACATATAAGATCATATCACAGATGTGAGCGCCACCTAGAGATAGTCTATATACTTTATCATTAGCAACACTATGTATTAAAAACGCGGTAACATGAATCGCATACATTCGAAAATCGTAATGGAATACAGAAAATCATGTCTCTTTTTTTGCGAACTTCTGTGTCTCTCTTAGGCATCTCTTTCTGATATTTTTATTGATGCATGCCAAATACCAATCGAATTCGTAATTACGCACACCCCTTGTTACCGAAATTGAAACCAAATAAGATACTATATAACGCGGATAGTTCAATGTTTAATACAAGGTTATATCAGATCCGTATGGCATTTAGCTCTTCTGCTCCTTCTCTTTTTGTGTATGTGATTAGATAGAGAAGATGCACATATTCCGTACACTTTTTCGTATTCTGACAATGCATAAGTGAAGCTTTGATTCAAGGCTTTTCTTGTCTGAAATTTTTGGTTATTTCCATGTCTTCGTTGTAGCATTGGAGGGAGGCTTTGTCTGGTTTTCTCAGTGACCTTATCCTAGAATTTTGTTTCGCTTGGACTTCTTTCGATAACAAAATTCATGGGCCTCCGTAGAAAAGTTTAGTCTACTTTCCATTGTTTCACTAAACTTAGTTAAAGACTACTTAACTGAAAATCAGTTTTATATTTTTGCATTTGGTTTTAGATAAAACTGCACAATGGGTACAAAACGAAAACTAGAAGATAATCTAAATTCTGAGCTAGTTGATTTTATTACTGGTATGCTCAAAAAGGTCTGCGCACTATCTCTATATATTGACCAATATTTTCCTTTTTGAGAACTCGCTGATTATGAGAAAAATGTCAATCGTATGATGCATAAATATAATGCCTATAGAAAGGTAATAACAGGTCGTTTTGTGTCCACCAAATATCACCTAAACTTTTCCTTTGCAGGCAGCCACTTCAATTGCAAAAGTGGATCATAAAATCACAAGTATAGATGATGTCAAAAATTTGGTAAGTTCAAAAGTTTAGATATATGCATCACTCTCTTGAGATCTGCACTATTTTTGACAAGAAACACTTATCATTGCATATTTTAATGTTTTTTTGTTTTTTGCATACAAGTAAAAGAAAATAACATCTACCTTTTTCATTTTGTATATTCGTATGAATTCTGAATGTGTATAAGAATATGTTTTCCTCATTTGCTACTGCGTTTAGGAGGGTGTCGGAAAAAAGATTGCTGCTAAAATTGAACAATATTTATCAACTGGAAAAATAAAAAAAGTTGATGAAGTGAGTAACAACAAAAGGAGTTTGATTTTCAGCAAGATAAATATTATTTTTCTCTTCCAAGGTTCGCGGAGATAACAAGGGCGCAGCAATCAATCAACTTGTTCGTATTATGGGAATCGGGTAAACTTGATCTTTATCTAAGACAAGACACTTTTCTTAACCATTTTTATCTAGTTTCTTAGACCAGCCCATGCTCGTAAACTGGTTGATAATGAAAATATAAAATCGATAGATGAATTACGAAAACATCCTAAACTAGAACAATTACTTAATCATCAACAACAACTTGGACTCAAGTAAAAAGAAATTAACAACATCAAACAAGCTACCACTCGACTCTTTTCTTTCCTTGTAGATATTTAGAAGAAATTGAACAAAAAATTCCACGAGATGAAATGAAACAAATGGAGGTACAGTAGCAAAATAGCAAAACGTAGCATGTATAATTAGTAGTAGTAACTATTTACGTCCATTTAGGAAGTCCTCTTGAAAGAAATAAAAACAATTGATGATGATTTAAAGGCAGAAATAGTTGGAAGTTATAGAAGAGGTTGTGTTTTGCTTTTTCTCTTATGAAAAATGAAAGTCTCTGTTTTACTCGAATATCGATCTGGTGTGGTTTATTCTTTGTTCTTTTATACAGGTAAAAGTGCCAGTTCGGATATCGATATACTTCTCACTCATCCAACGTGGACGTCGAAAAATAAACGTGATACAACTCCATTATTACAAAAAGTTGTTCAATCATTAACGAAAAGTGGTTTTATTACAGACACAATGGCCTTGGGAGACAATAAGTTTATGGTAAAGAAATTTGTTGTCTGAAAAACTGTTGATACAAGTAATTTATTGACTTTTCTGACTTCTCTACACACACGACGAGTTGAACGACCCTAGAAAAGACACATTTTGATAAGCTTGACTCTTTTCGGTAACAATAAGCATGTTTTTGTTGCCAGGGTATGTGTCAATTAGAAGCAACCAAACCTCATCGTCGCATTGATATTAGGTACGTTAATAACTAAAACCTTTTCATTGTTCAGAAACGAAGAAAACGGTTTCGAACAAAGTTTGAGCTGGAGAATGATCAGTATTTGCTTTGGATATGACACAGGAATTATTTTTTTTATTTCTTCAGGAATCACCGTATGGTTTTTGTTTTGTGTATTTAGACTTTTTCCTCATGATCAATATTACTATGCAGTTTTATACTTTACGGGAAGTGATCAGTTTAACCGTAATATGAGAAAAATTGCACAAGAACAAGGTTATACTCTTAACGAATATTCTCTAAGAAAATATGGACAAACAGGTGAGGATAACAGCAACTAATTATTTGCTAATCATTTAAAATATTCTTAGGTAATGAATGAGCTCTGTTTTCTGTTTTAGGTGTACCGGGAAATCCCATACCTATAACATGTGAAGAAGATATATTTGATTATCTTGGCATGGACTATAAAGAACCAAAAGATCGAAATGAATAATTTTTTTGAAGTCAAAAGAACAGTAAATACGATTTTAATAGCAGTATGCTCTGTGATGTAAAAAAGATTGAAAAGACGGTGATTTTATTTTTATTTTTTATTTAATCAAGATGTTCTTTTTTGTATGATGATGACATACGTTTTTGTATGGTAATTCAAAAAAATGTTTTTTTGAATTTGAAGAATATATATTCTGTGACTTTTTATAAGAATATGATTAATGTATACTAAATAGACTGGGAATTCAGCTTCCTTTTTAGTTGATGATGTTTTGCAATTTATTTTTCTACTTTGCTTTGTATACGATCTCTATTTTAATTAAAAAAACGCGTTAAAACTCATTTCTATTGATCCTTATTTAGTTTAAATACAAACGATTTTTCTTCGACGTTTAATATAGATTTGTTGAGTCTCCGTGCTCAAGTAGACATTATAAATGATCTAACGCATTATTAAGAGAAAAATACATGATTTGCACATGGACAAATGAGTTTGAATTTGATCAATTGAATGGTTGGTTTTTCGGCTTAACTTTTGATTTGTTATGCTTCTAGATTTTATCCATCAGCTTCATTCGAGCATGCCAAAATCAAAACGCGATCAACATCTAACATTAACAAAAACAAAACGTAAACGTGGCGTTGAATTAAAACAACAACTCGTTTCAAAAATTCACTCGAATCTAGATAAATATTCATCATTATATGTACTAAAAATCTACAATGAACGAAATGAAAAACTTCATTATATTCGTAAACATTTATCGGATAGTCAATTTTTTTTTGGCAAAAATTGTGTTATGTCCTTTGCATTAGGTCGAACACCCAGTCTAGAATATCTAAAAAATTTATCAAAGATCACACCGTATTTATTGGGAAAAATTGGTCTGCTAATGACAAATCGCGACCAAAAAGAAATTATAGAGTATTTTAACTCATTATCACTATTAGATTATGCTAGAAGTGGTAATGTGGCAACAGAAACGGTGATAATTGAGCAAGGACTATTACCAGACTTTCAACATACAATGGAACCCATGCTGAGACAGTTAGGATTAATGACATCGTTGAAAAAAGGTAATATTGTGCTCTGTTAACGTCAGGAGTCAGAATGTTAGTTGATAAATTTGAACTATTGCTATAAGGTCCTGTTCGATTTCTTAGCCGTTTAGAAAAAAGCCGTTAAACGTAATTGCTTAAGTAATCATAACAAATACAAATAATTCCCTTTAGATTATTCCAATTTTTTTCTTTCTCATTCTAGGTATCATTTATTTAGAAAAAGTCTATACAGTTTGTAAAAAAGGGGATATTTTAACACCCGAACAAGCAAAACTATTAAAATTATTTCAGTATCAACAATCAGAATTCAAAGTTCGAATTAAAGCTGTTTGGACAAAAAATGATGGCTGTATTCAAGTGTTTGACATTCAAGACGATACGATAATTGATAATGACATGAAAGTTGATGATATTGAAGAACAGTTATTCGTGGGCGACGAAGAAAACTGGATAGATGATGAAGGGCAAACACAACACGAAACAAATAGAAAAAAATCACGAAAAATCTGATATTTGTTATGTATTGTTATTGTTGTTTGTTTTCTTTTGTATGTCAAACATTGTTTTGTTCTTTTTTTACTATCAGTAATTGTATTCGAGTAGAAAAAAGAGTTTTCATTCATTTTCAAATTATATTTTATGGTTAATACAATCTACAAGTAATATCTAAGTCGAAGACTACCAGCTATTGCACTTTGTTTTAAAATTTTTATAATATCTTGTTTTCCTCTTACCTTGTTAGATAAAGTATTGCCAGCTCTTTTTATATTTTTAGATTAGAAGTAAAGTGTTGTGTAATATAAAATTGTGACCATTTTCTCTGTCCACACCGATATATTTGTTTCATTCTCTCTTCTAAATGTTGATTATTGTTTGCTGACATTTTTCATATGTCATTAAGTTCACAAATGCATGCACATTTTGCTCAACCACTTCAAGTACGTACCAAATCTGGTTTGTAGTAATGAAAATATTTCCATCTATTATTTTATTACTTTCTAGGCCGCTGCAGCAGCAGCAGTTGCAGCTGCAATGGCAGTTAGCAATTCATCAGCAAGCTCCACATCTGACAATCATCCTCTAACGCCCATTCATCACACAGCAACAAAAACAGAATGGATGGAATCTATTGAACAACAACATATTGAACGAGCAACACTTAATCGCTTAATTATCAATTATCTAGTTACAGGTTAAATTATTTAACTTTCGAATAAGTACTTTTCAACTAAAACTCGAAGAAGAAAGATGAAGCGTTAAACATTTTGACAGTCAACATTTAATTACACCAAACACTCTCTAATCTTGAATCGATTCTATCAGGTACTGACTATTTTTGTTTATTTTTATTTTACAGAAGGCTTTAAAGAAGCTGCCGAAAAATTTGCCGAGGAAGCTGGTATTCAATTAACAAATGTTGATTTAACAAGTCTTGGTGAACGCATTCGAATTCGAGAAGCAATTGAAAGTGGAAATATTCATGACGCAATCAATCTAATTAATTTGAAAGCACCAGACTTACTAGATCAAAATAGACATTTGACATTTCATCTAAAAGTGAGTGTTAACGGTTTAACTTAATTGCAAACATTATAGTATAAGCTCAAGATCTCTTTTAAATTGGGACTTGTTACCAGAAGTTATTGATTTAATTCGCATTCTTTGGTTTTTAGCAACAACAATTAATTGAACTAATTCGTGGCAATTTAATTGACGAAGCATTGAATTATGCTCAGATACATTTGGCTGAATTTGCCGAAGAAGATGTTAAAATGCGACAGGAACTGGAAAAAACCATGGCATTGTTAATCTTTGATAAAGCTCTGGAATCACCATACGGCTATTTAATGCAATTGTCACATCGTCAACAAGTAGCCAATGAAATTAATTCGGCTCTATTAACCTATCAAAATGATGAATCAGAATCCGATTTATCGATACTCGTGCGAATGGCGCATTACATGCAAGATAAATTAGATCAGAAAAATTTACGTTATCCAAAAATGAGTGATGTTAGCAGTGGAAAACTAGAAGAGCCATAAGCAAATAGTTAACAACATTAAATTCTGTATGTGTGTGTCTAAAACTATTCGTTGTGCGTCGTATCGATATTTTTTCTTTTCCTTGTTCTACTCTTAAGTGGAGATTCAGTTTTCGAAGACTGTTCGACATGTTAGCAGAATTTTTCAAAGATGAGACATCTTAAGAGAATCGCATAATTCTATTCGGTTGTAGTTGTAAAAATCTTCGTACAGATGATACTATAACATGCGAATAAATTCCCACTGTTTCTCTTGTTGTTGTTTTTGATGTTATGAAACCATCTTTTTTTGTTTTCTTCTCTTCATTCTTCATTTTTGTTGCTGTTTCTCGTTTTTTTTTATAAATGTAACTCTAATTTTGTTCAAAGAAAAACACATTGTTTTTTGTTTGGACTTAGGATAAAGCACCCAAATGATTCCAAATTGTCCTTCTGTATGTGAGATTAGTTTTAAACTTGCAGATTAAATACGTTCTTTATTTTCATTTTCTCTTCTTTGTTAAAATCTAGTTCAGTTCAGTTTTTTGAACGAAAAAACAAAATGTGTATGTGAAAGAGAGAGCGAGTACGAGAGAACATGTGTGAAATTAGGCAAGTAAATGCTTTTTGAGTGAATGTAAGATCAACAAAACATGCAAATAAATATGTTTGAGATACTTGTACGCTTATTTGCTTTATGTTCGCTACAGTTTTTGTCTTTTCCTTCTGGTAATTGAACAAAGGACACCAACTGGAGAAAGTCGAAGTTTTTGTTTTGTTTTCTGTAAATAACTTTTATTCACAAAAGATTTTAAAATATGAAAGTGAAATAAGATCCATTTTAATAAATGCATTATAAAAAAATGTACGTTCAACTAGCATAATAAACATAAAATAATAAGTCATCTTCATCTTCTCATGAGGTCGCCACTTTCTAGAATGTAGTTCTTTTTTTCTATTAAGCATTCGGTCTATACTATCTATCTATGGGCAGATTGCAAGTGAAAATAAACTAAAATAAAAATGATGTCGACACCCTCAACTTCCTTACGTGGCAAATGCTGGCATATTTTTCACTGCGGCTTATTTTGGCTCATCAGATTTCAAACAATTTGGCGGAAAACTTAACCACATCAGAAAATCTTCGCCAGGGTTCTTTGAATGTCAACTAGTTTTCACGTTCTGGTTGGAGAATTTATTCATTTGGAACAGTTGTAAAGCGCACTGTAACACCTTACAGTCTCTGGAAAAAGTTCTCAACTTCCTTATATAAGCAAGCATCGTTGTTTCTCGATACACGACTACTATACCAAAGTTATTATTTAAGAAATGTTTATGACACGACCTTCATAGGGAACTAAAGTTCTGTTTCGTTGTACTTGATGAAACTTTACAAATATTATGAACAGTCCCTTTTTGAATGATTAAAACACAAAACTGCTGATTTAAGATTGAAAGTAGCCCCAAAAAGTGTGTATGTAGGAATTTAATCGGCACTTATATTATATTATATAAAGAAAGACAACATAACAGAAAAACACAACATTGAGATTCTATCCTCTAGCTAGAGACTTCTCGTTGACATTATCAGAAGTATTTAGTTATTGTTTGGTCAATTCATACCCTTGAGAGGAAGTTATTACTAACCGTCAACATGCATGAAAACTGGCCGTGTGGGAAGTATATGTATTCAGCTGCATTTTTTTCTATTATGGACGACGAGATAGAAAAAGTCTACTTTTCTTATCGTCGTCAGTTGAGCGGAAGGTATGTTGACAAAAAAAATTATATCGCATATTTAGATATAAATCATATGATCATGATCAGAAAATGTGTGCCTAGTATTTGATTACAGCAAAAGTTGACTTTTTGTAGAAAATGAAAAGCTTCAGTGTTTGTTTCTCTTCTTTTTTTTTACGGTGACCACATGTATATGGATCCTCGATCCGCTTTTGTGGCTTGTAGCTTTTGGATTTTCTACTTTTACATCAATAAACGAGATTAAAACAAATAAAAAGCGCTTTTTTTTGTTCTTGTGGATGATTGGAAATCCAAGCTTTCTCCTTTAAAGCAATTAAAGAGAATGAAAATTTTCTTGACTTCATTAAGAGTACAGTAGATGCTGTTCTACGTAAAAGTATGAAATTTGTCGACAGACTATTTCCGATGAATTTCCGAGATAAATTTTTCACAAAAAAACATCCTTTTTACATCAACGTGAACATATAAATAACTGAACTGATTAACAGTATAAGACTCAGTAGGCTAAAGTCTAGTATGGATTGGCCTCAAGACGCTAAGTCTACTTGCGAAAAGCTCTTAGACTGGGTTTGATACTACTTTAGGTGAGATTGTTCCGCTTCCTATGCGTACATGTATATATATATATATATATATACACTTTCTTTTTTATCGACATACCTTCCGTTCGACTGGCGACGATAAGAAAAGTAGACTTTTTCTATCTCGTCGTCGATAATAGAGAGAAATGCAGTTGAATACATACAATTCCTACACGGCCAGTTTTCATGCATTTTGATGGTTAGAAATAACGTCCTCTCAAGGGTATGAATACCTCTGAATAATGACAATCAGAATAAACTGTTTTCCTTTATGTTTTAGATACCAAACATTATCGAAAGAATTATTTTTATTGGTGCTGAATTCATGTCCGAATTTGAAATTATTATTGCAAGGTGATGAATTATCCAATAAGCGCTTGAAATGTCTACCAGTAACATATATGTCTCTTGTATCCATCAACGCATAACATTTCCGCTTGTCTGTCTCAATCACCATAAATTTTTTTCCTGAATTAATCACATTCAAAGGAAAAGATACCATGAACTATTATATAATGATCTTATCTAATCGATTCAAAAGTTTTTGAGAAAATGAAAGATTGAAGAAATATTTATTCCACCTGTAACAATTAACGATAATTGTCATAACTAAGACAAAATATGGTAGTAAAAATAAATTTTCAGCGTTGTTGACCTGCGATGAAAAAATAAGATGTTATTTATCAAATTATATTGAACGCCTAGTGATATTTTGACTTTAATTATAGAAGTGAGGCAGATTTATCAACCAATAGCTAAATGACTGGATAATAAAATAATAACTGTCTTGGTAAATGAGATGAAGTATTTTTGTAGACTTAGTTCTATTTATTCGAAATTTCCTTGTTAATCTGGTCGCTTGATTCACTTTCTTAGATAAATCTATAGTCCTTTTTTTTTAATTTTTTTAGGTCGATATCTCAAATTGTTCAGACGACATCTTCGACTAAACTAAATGTCTTATTCGCCAATTTTCAAATCGACGAATTCGACGATTGCTTCAATACGAACGTGTGCATTGGAAAGTGGAAGTGGCTATACCCATAAATAAATTAAAAAGTTCAACAATTTATTAAATGTGCAAGATACGCGATTTCGTCTATAATCATCTATTATTGGATTAAAATTCAATACGGTAATGATGCATTTATGTTTGAAGCTAAAAATAGCTGTTTGCCCTAGAGACGGCAAACGCGAGAGGCTCAATTTTTCACCTATTTGTTAGGTTTAATATTTCGTTAAAAATGTGGTTTGACCGATATATATGGAATAGAGAATGAATTCTTTTGATTTACATCGTATATTTTCTGGTTTTACAACCAAGAATGAACAGGGAAAATAGTTTTTTTGATGTTTTTAGATAATCGCTGTTTTTTATTAATTTACCTGCTCTCTTATTCGTACTCAAAATAAGATAGACTTTTATTCTGTTTGACACTTCGATAAAAGTTTGACCAAGATAGAAGAAGAAAATATTTCGAGTCTCATCTATTTTCAAAACGCTTCGCCGTCTTTGATTTGCTCATTTATGTCAGCATTTTTTCTTTACAAATCGCGTGTACATCACTTTCATTCATAAGTTGTACTATATTTTACCCACTTTCATTCGCAGTGGCGGGAGACTTTAATACATCAGAATTCTATAGTATACAAGTGAAAAGTAGCAGTTTAATCAAACCATAGAAATGGCAGTGTATGATCAGAATGGTCAAACAACTGAATATATGTATTAGTGATCCTGTATGAACAGAAATGTCTTTTTGTATAGTACCCATTAACAGAAACAGTCTGCATTACAAATCCTCATCAGTTTTCATTTAACTTTAGAGCTCTTTTTTTCTCTACTTTTTTAATCCTTAGTTTTACGTTAATAGATCTGAATTTTTCAGATTGGTTATGATTATCCTTTGGCCGAAAAAATTGACGATGAATGTGCAGATTTATCAGAAGATTTCAAACGGTTAGTTTATAAACACAATTTACATTAATTGTAAAAGATGATTCTTTCGAAACAATTCTCATCAGAAGTCGGTAAGTTGATATAAACTTTCTTTCTATTTTTTCTTTCAGAACACAAACGGAAAAATATTCCATTATAATATTCTAAACTAAAACTATCGAAAAACACAGTTGGTAAGTTACTTTTCATTCATTAAAGTATCTTTCTTTTGCTAAAACAGCGCTACAATCACCATTTCCATCGAATTTTTTCATAGATTATTTTAAATTATGATTCAATATCTTCATAGGCTATGTTTATTACTGACAATATTAATCATTGGTGAAAAATTGACAATATGTGGTGATTGCCATTTGGTGCTGGAGTTTATATCTCTAGACTTATTAACGGTACATTATAAACGGTGATTCATATCGATTTCATTATTTTCAACACAGACAACGTTCGTGTAATGATCATTATTATGATCGACATTTTTTTAGATGGAGAAATTATTTTGTTCACTCTTGAATATTTTTTTGTGAAAAAATGTTGTTTTATTTCGATATTCTTGTATATTACTCTTATTATTTAATACTGAACTTGTCTGAATTGTTGACAAACGTATTCTATAATGATTTTGATTGTTTTATTTTTTCTATTGTAACTAACAGTTAAATTTTTATTTTTGTTTTAAGTAAAATACACAAATTAAATTTAAGATATAACGTTTTGCGTTTATGGAGAGCTAAATGATTTCTATTTCTGTTTTTCAGATTAGTAACATGACGTTGTGGTCTACAAAAGAAATGATTGTTTTATTATCAAATGTACTAGAATATGGTGAATATGGTGAATATAGTTGGAAACAAATAGTTATCGATATGAGAAAAACATTTTCAACTATAACAAATCCATGTGGACGATATACAAGCAAAGTACGTACAGTAATTTGACGAATGTGATAGAGTTAATCGAATATGTGAATTCAGAATTGTCGTCAAGAATATTTACGTATAATGGATCGTTATAAATGTGAATGGGAAAAGTATGGTAAACCAGAATTGATTCCTCAAGCATCATATGCATGGAAAAAATTAAAAGAATTTTATGAAGCAGAAATATTACAACAACTGAATGAATCAAGAAAAAAATTAACAGAATTTTGTCTAAAAATAGAAACTATCAATACTACAGCAACAACTCAATCAACAACACCGATGAGTAATAATAATCAGATTGTGGATGATCGTTTATCAATGTAAGTACTCCATGGATATAATTAACCTTTTCTTACTAAATTTTCCCATATCTCTTTTATCTAGATCATCGACGAGCAGTGATTTGTTTTCATCACAAACAACACCGAAAAAAAACAGATTAACACATCAGATAGTATCGAGTCCAATTATACTAGTAAGTTTGTCGAATGATAAGCGAGCACCTGCTTTTGCTTAGCACGACAAATCGAAGGAAGAGAACAAACAATTCTAATTTGATATCCACCTAAATTTTCCTCTTCATTGTATGATTTCGAAGATTGAGTATAAATGAGATGAAACGTTTCTTTAAAATAAATTGTATTTTTAGCTAGTCTACTCTGTCCAATTTTTATTTTTTATTTTGTTATAGAGAAAACCAAATCATCCGATATCGTCATCTGATTTGTCTAATATAGCCACTATAATTGATATTGATAACAGTTCAAGACCATTAGGTATTTTGTATACGTTTTTCTTTTTCAAAATCTGCGTTTAAAATATAATGCTGTTCTTCTTTTCAAGAACCATTTGGCTCTTTTTTTGTGGACATACCACCACATACATCAGTTACAGAATCTAGTCCAATAAAAGTCAAACAACATACTGAAGAAACTGTGCAAAAGCACGATGAATTACAGTCACATACGATCATTTCAACCGCAATATCCATCACATCATCTGAACAACCATCACAAAATTCTTCTCAATCGAATATAGTTCTAATTAAACGAGAGCAAGTATCGCCAATAATAGAAGAAAATAAAGATGAGAAACAATCAATGAATCCATTTGAAATAAATGAACCAGCAGTCATAAGTAAGAATAACAAAATATACTGAACTTTTAGGAATTATTTGATAAGTACATAAAGATAGCATCATATTTCTCAACATCAAGATGTACAAAACTTCTACCATTAATGTATAACGTTTCTGAAAATTATGCACAGTGTTTAAGTATAAAATGCCGCCTTTGTTTTCTAGACGCGCTTCCCGTCAGTTACGAAAATCACCCTCTTCTCAAAGTAGAAGGGAAAGAAGAACAAAATCGTACAACGCTCGAACCGCTTTTACAATCTGGAACAAAACTTCTTATCGAAGATAATTCATTTTTACAGTCAAATCAATCACCATCGAAATTATCACCCTCAAGCACTAGTCTTTCTCCAAAACGGACTCGTTCGATTTCACAATCTATGCAGTCATCTTCACCTCAAAAATTTGATCTATCTAAAAGTGAAACAAGTGCGAATATGTCCATTTGTCTTCGATCATCTACAACCACCGTACAACAATCACAACAAGAGACAAGAACCCGAACAATTTCTTCAACAGGCAGTTCTTCAATAACCAAATTTGAAAATAATAATGACGACGATTCACCATCATCACGTACGAGACGTTCAAGTTTTCGTCAAACATCAAAAACAGCGCCATCGATTACAAATTCAGATACGTGTATTGTTAGTTTAGATCACACAGTAGTTAATATGAATAGTGTGGAGGAGAATACAAATGCGAGTTCATCTCGATCAACGTCACGTGCTAGTTCAGAAACAAAATTAGATTTTATTCAGCCGTTAACATCTCAAAGTGCCAATTCACAAGTATGTATCAAACATAAAACAGCCTTCATGTTCACTCATAACTATTGTAATTCTCTCTTCTTTTCTTTTTTCTTCATAGACTTCACAAAAAAAACCACGATATTGTGTTTATTTTTCACCAAAAAACTCGTTAACAAATATTAATAAAAAATCGAAAAAAATGAATGATGATACAAATGAAAAGGTGTGTACTTCTATGTTTAAAATATCATGGAATTTATTAATAAATTTTAAAATATATTTTAATTTCTTGTTTATTTCTTTAAGATAACTGATACAACACCAGACAGTAGTGAATCGAGTCGTGATACAACCATCGAAACAGTTCCACTACATTTAAAGTCAATATCCAGTGATGTAAAACCAAAAACGTCATCAATGACATCAACTTCTATGATGACACGACGTTCATTAATACGTTCGTCGGAATCACACAATAACGATGAGACAATATCTTTCAATCTTTCAGCGTCAATTGATGAAAAGTTCGTTTTTATATTTGATATGAAAAATGTCTAGTTTATATAGAACTGATCATTTTCATTATGTTTTAGATTCTCTGCTTTTTCCATGTTAGAACCGAAATCTTGGAAATCTTATGCAGTTGATATAATGAGATCAATTTTAAGTCAAAAGTAGATTTTATACTCAACTCTTTCTTTTTTTAAAGTCACATATTTCTTCATTCTAGATCTGGTTATATATTTCTTCATCCTGTCACAGATGAAATTGCTCCCAATTATCATAAACTCGTTAAAAAGTAAGATTCACGTATGCTTTTCATTTTAACTAATCATCTGCTTCTTTTGTTTTTTTTGTGTAGACCATCAGATTTAAATACAATTCGTAAACGTTTAGAATCGGGTGAAATTTCATCAATTCGTGAATTTCAAGTTGACATCATGCTCATGTTTATCAATGCTATTAAATATAATCCACCTACGCATCGCGTACATCGTACAGCTAAACAAGTTTTTCATCGAATATTACCACAATTTGAAGTATTAATGATACTTTCTAATAATTTATTTCTAAATGTAATAATGTTGTACTATTGTAGACAATACCTGATGTACATTTCCCAAAGAGTTTCAATATGTTCGATCAACTACTACTAGGATCATCGTCAAGATCAGAAGTATATAAAGATAGTTAGTTAGAAAGAATATATGATTATGTTACTTGTGTTTTACTGTTTAGTCGTTACAAAATGTTTTAATAAAAGAACAAAGTCGATCATCCGATCATTTGCAACAACCACCTTCGAAAAGAAGACGCTTAAGAGTGAGTTTTTCCAGTATCCATTTCAAACGATTATGATAAATATTCCATTAGAGAACTGTAGATAGGCGTTTCTTTACTTGAAATTGAAAAAATTATAATAATAGTTGTAAAAATTTTCGATTTTTTCATTATTCTATGATTTTTTTGGTTGCCTCTAAGTAGTGTTTAATTTAGATGTACAACAAGATGTCGTATAATTATTGACAAATTTTTCTTCCTTTATATTCTAGTGAAATCAAATGGATTCTTATTAGTCGTGTAAATTAAATTACTACCTGGTTTCTTCGACAATTTATCGTATTTTTGAAAATATCTTGAATTATTTTTTTTTCTTTTGTTTTGTTTCATAGTCACTGATAGTCACCCGTTTTTTCTTTGTAAATAAACTGATGTGAAGCTGAGACGTTACTTTTATTTTACATCAATAAGGAATTTTGTATTATTTCATATATCAAATATTTGCAAGAAGCAAGCATCTTCTAACTGATCAACAAACTTTTTTTACCGTAACCATTTTGTATAATTCAATGAAAGATTATCCTGATATAAATTACTTTAATATGATTAAGATCTTCAGTTTTCTTTTTGTCTTTGACAATTCTGTTTTGTTACTGATTTTTTCTGATACTATGTATTATTTTGATAAGAAACAGTAAAAAGAAAACGCCCTTTAAATTGAGATATATTCGTACACTGACTTGTTTGTTAATATATAAAAAAAAAATGATGAGAATAATAACGTAAATGATACTAAAAATCCGTCAAAAATAAAATAAAATAAATGAATGATCTATCACAGTCACTTATTTATTTTTCCATGGAAAATTTTCTCCTTCTTTATCTTCAAATTCTAATTTACTTCGTGCATCCTCGCATATAATATCACCAGAATCACCATCTAATAAAATCAATGTTGGTATACCTTGAACTTGGTATTTTTGAGCTAATTCTTGTTTTTTGTCTCGTTCAGAATAGGGTAAAGCAAGCCATGGTTGTTCACCATAATAACTTTGAAAACTTTTCTCGTCACGATCCGAACTAACAAAAATAATTTCTAATTTTTTATCACTCGAATGTTTTTTGTAAAATTCGGCTAGGATAGGAGTGAACCCTGTAAAAATTGAGAAAAAATAATCCAATACAAATATTTCTGTTTTAATTCACAAATCTTACCTCGACATGGTGGACACCTAATAGAAAGAAGAAAAAAAGCAATGTGATTAATGAGTAAGCATTAAACACGCCTTTTTTATTCCTTTACCAGTGAGCGCTAAAATAAATTCCAACAACTTTTCCAGAAGATTTTTCTGCAATATTCACTTTATTTCCTGCTTTATCAACAATATCATTACCCACGATTTTTGCGACACCAGCCATTTATTTTGTTTAACAGTGAAGTAAAAAGTAGAGCGTTTATCTATCTAGAATGAAGAATAAGCAATTATTTGATTTGTTTAGAGGTTATAAGTTAAAACCCTATCTATATGACAATAAGAGTATGTTTGTTCTTGTGTGTGTGTGTGTAATCACTTCTCAAAGTAATTTTGCCTATTCAGAAAAATGAGAAAATGATCAATGGAGGGTATATACACAAACACACAAGAGGAGGAAATAAATATTTTTTGACGAAAGAAAGAAATAGAGCTTTTTTTTTCTCATCCTTCCTTATAATACACGAAACAGTCAGTTAAACTACGCCATTTGGACTTTGTCTGCTGTCTGTAATAAGAGTATTTTTGATGAAAGAACAAAAGACTTGCATTAACACAATAACAATTATAAAGAAAAATTGTTATTAGTCCATAGAAAACTATACTATGACTTTCTTGACCTCGACCAGTAGGTAGGATTGATAATATAACGTAAAACTATAAAAAATTGGTCGAATGCTCGATTTAAAATAATTCGAAATTCATTTCATAATTCGAAATAAAATTTATGAAAGAATCTAACGATAAAAGCTATTACAAATATTCTCCGCTTTTTTGATGAAATACAGTTTTATAGGTAATTTGTTGTGCTATCTCCGTTATTTTCTATGTTAGGCCACATCCTCTGTCATACTTTATCGCTAAACTCTTTCTAAAAACCTAAAATCAACTTTCCAGAAAACTGATTTTGAAAGTACTAGTTCAAAGAGAATGTCAGAATATATACGTTCGTTAAGAAACAAACAAATGTTTGCAGAGTTATTAAATCTCTTATTCGAAGATTGTCTATAATGTAAGTATTTCAGCTGATTTTTCGAAAGTTAAAGTTTAGTAACATTGTAAAAACTTGTTTCTTTTCTCACGGACGTATATATTCTGACAGTCTCTTTGAACTGGTACTTTCAAAGTCAGATTTTTCTGGAAAGTCGATTTTAGGTTTCTAAAGAGTTTAAAGATAAAGTACGGCAGAGCATATGACTCGACATAGTAGATATCGGAATTAGCACGACAAATTATCTATAAAAACTGCATTTCAAACGCGGAGAGCACTTATGAAGCCTTCTGCATAAGAATATTAAACACATACTTCTGTTATTTTGCCTCCGTTAACGAAATCAAACATAAAATATCGATGTTACAAAATAGCGATGATACAAATTTCTTTTAATCACTTGAGCTACCTTATATCTTTTTTACCTGTAGTGTTAACAATGGGGAGAAAAAATAAAAATAATATTTTTTAATAATTTTTTAATATTTAAGATGTTTACGTTAAGTCATATTTTGATAAATGTATTCTCTCTGTCACCTGTACACCCCTTCTCACAAAAAAGAAATGGCAATTAATTGAAAAGTTTTCCCTTTTGTACTTTCTCACTCGCTAATTTTTCAAAATATTTTTTTTTCTCTTACCTGGAAAAAAAATAATATTTTGCTCCTTAGAAACGATAATAATAAGTGTTTTGTGAACTTCTCCCGTATACACAGCAGAAATTGAGAAATGGAAGTTTATACTTAAAATCGATAGTTTCTTTTGGATAAATTTTTACACTACACTCCTCTTCACGGACGAACAGTATGGATACTAATCTCTAAATATTTGAAGAGGTAGTAACCACTTGAAGATTGGTAATAGAAAGAGTCATTATCTGAATAGTTATGGTTACAAAATGTCAGATTTTATTTAGAGAACTCAAATTGTCAACGAAATTTCACGTTTCTAGTCCCACATGAAACTTTTCTGATAAGATTTTGGAAAAAAAATTCAATCGTAACAAATCAGAGATTTTTTTTACAAACATTTATTTATTTTGAAATACAGTCGTTTGTTACATTCATATAGATTATCCGTTCTTTTTCATAGTTTTTGTGCTAGAAAACTATTCAAACAACTTTTTAATCATCTTTAATCATTAAAAAAAGATTTGTTGTCTTATAATACGCACACTATATACTTTAAAGTTATATAAACTTCAGAAACTGCATACTATTTTCAATTATATTTAAAAAATCAGAATAAATGCAAAGAGAGTGAAAAGTCATTTAACCTTTAAAAATTGGACTGTACGTTTGCGTACCAGAGTAAAGAAAAGTAAAAAATATTCCAATTTTTAAAGGTTAAATCAAGTATAATTTTCTCGATAATGAAGTATAGTAGTTTTTCTGGCTGCGATGAGAGATGAAAATGTATTTAATTTCACCAGAATACAAAATTTATAGCACTTTTAATTGAATTAGAATTAGAAAATGAAATAATACGAACATATGTTTTCAGACGAGAACAACTAACAAATCGACTTAAAAAAATTGTATTTTCATATCTTTAACATACCTCTCAAATATATATATAACTCGAAGTGTAGTCAGTTCAAGAATACGACTTTTGATATTTATATTACTTGAAAGAATGAATCAGTATAAAAGATTGCGATTGAATCAGAAAAAACTTTTACCATATAAGGTTGAGAAAAGTGAATAGAGAAAAAAACACATTACTATTTTTTTCTTCTGTTCTACCTGTCAAATTTATATAAGTAAAATTGCTTAGTAATCATCTACATTTTCACTCTTTTTCTCTTTTATTTTTTCTCTGACATGAATACATGTGTGTGCACCTTATACGTGTATTTAAATCGTTTTGTACATAAAATTATTTGAAAAAAGAGTAATTGACTGCTAATAAATATAGTCACAGAATCACAATATATGCTTACTATTAAAATTGTTTTGCGTTTTACAAAAGTTGTGTACTACTTTATAAGGAATCAGATCGATCAAAATCAAAAATGGATATTAAAATTATTCATCATTAATAAAAAAAATTCATGTCTCTGAATAGTTTGAGTTTCAAAAAGTGTCCGTTGATTTTTCATATTTGTTAATTCGAAAAGTATCTGTCGAATAAACTTATGAAGTAATGAGAAATTCAATAATTTTTCATTGTAAAGTCTATATATTTGTAAGAGCGAACTATGACTACAATAAAAGCTAAATTAACAAATACATATTTATTTTGTGACATTTGAAAGACATGATATTGTCTATCACTCAATATCTCAACATAGAAAATATTAAATTTTACTATCGCAGGTTATCAGCTAAGAACCAGCCATCTTTGCATGCGTATTCAGTGTGGGTATACTTGCATTATCTACAGATCTTATCTATTATTGCTGCATAACAGATTCTAATTATGATGTTATGCTTATGGTAATACGATGCTACGAATATATACAGACTGATGTTTTCATTCTTAGTTTTGGTATTCGACAGATATTCAACTTATTCAAAACATTTATCACTATTTCATTGGACCTGTAATTTCTTTTTTACTTCAAAAATTTAACTTTGAATCATGCCTGTAAAAATATCTTTGGATAAATTCTTTCAGATTTTCTTTTAACAATTGAATTGTCTCATTGAAATGTCTCAGATAAACATCTTCGTTTAAGTAATCTCTTATCATCATCATGCTAAAACACAAGTGTTATGATCTCTACTAAGTCTTGTCTAATTATCACACAAGAATCGAATAATTTTGGAAAACTATCATCCAATTAAGGATACTGAATCCAAAGTTTGTTTGTTTATTATACGGCTTACCTTGCATAATTGCATTCACAAAACTATTTAATCATTTACACGTAGACTACACTTTTCTCTTCAAAAGTTTAAACTTTAATTTGTATAAGCATAAATTACCCAAATGGAGATCGGAATGACTATAGCAATCATCTCACCAATCACCATTATATCGAAATAAATGTTGATATTTCATGTAGATTTTTCCTTACTTATTCCATTTAGGTATTGTTATACTTTCGCTGAACTTTTACCTTATCATTTAGTATTATCGAAAATAGCGTTGGAATATCCCATCCGATCACTTCCTTCAATTCTCACTTTAGTGGTTATTTCGACAAACAAGAGAGTACATTCAACTATAATGAATTCGCATAGTCATCACAAAGCTTGTAAGCAGCCAATATTAACAACAAGACATTCACTAATTATTCACGAACAAAGACATTTTCAACTACGAACTGCCCATTGGCGTTGTTTCAGTACGATGTAGAATTTTTCAGCATTCTAATCATCCGCTCTGTCGATTCAAGTCATAGATTAAAGGATGCATACGTTGTGCCACTGGTGCCATAGTCGATCAAACGTAGAGTCGGACATCAAATCTACCCTACATACAGACAAACAGTAGTTTTCTCGTGTTATATATTCTTTTTGTATTGTTCCAGTGTTAATAAATGCTCAAGCCACTAATGAATATCTTAGTCACATGTTTTGATAATCATGAACTGCTATATTACACGCAACGCAGAAGACAAAAAAATTCAATTTTTTGTATATCAAAAGATAATACAAGTAGAAGGAATGAATAGTTGTTTAATTTAGTTTTTATGCAATTTAGATATCCAATATCTAAATGCTAAATTTTTGACATTAGCATTGATCCTGTTTGATAGCCAATGTCTTCTAATAGTGTTCCGAATAGAACTGCTTACATATCACTATAATTTTTCTGCTTGTTTCATAAATAAATACAGTCGCAAATTTATCAGCTATATGTATATTCGAGATTTAAGTTAGTGTCTCGTTTTGTCTCATCAAATAATTTAGAAAACTCATTTTGGTTTGATCTTCAAAATTTCGCAAGACGAGATCGTTTCGCCCACCTGTACTGCATCAGATAACTCGGAAGTTTCTGCACCTGTATACGAGACGTTTTACAACACACCTATGCTGACATTGTTTCGTTTTTTAAAACATTAAAAAATTTGTTTTTTTCTCATTGTTATCAAAAACTTAGATTAATACTGATGAAAAAATACACACTAATAAAAATGATTGGAGAGGGAAATAACACAAATTAATAATAATTAGAGACGGAAATCAAAATACAAAAGACGATATGGAGAAATATTTATGTAAATTTCGTTGAAGTTGTCTGTTAGATTCAATAAAATATCAAGCGGATTTACTTTACTCCAAATCTAGTTTAGATTTCTATTGCTCTTGTTTCAGGTAAACACTACCAACTTTACTTGAGAGTGATGATTATCTTACCACTGACAACGATAATGCTATTATTATTGATTCTCTATTTGACAATCATTTGTTGAGGATCCTGTAGCAAAATTGGTATTTTTCATCCGTTGTCCTCAGTTAGAAGAAAGAGAGGGGATGACAAAAAGTCTCAATAATTTTAAAAAAGTTGTTTAAACACCTTGGGGACGCGTTAGCTATTCTTTTTCGAGAACTTTATATAAAAGAAAATCTCCTTCTCGATATGGGTGTTCATATCAGAAACTTGTCAACTATATGGAAGATATTAGACTATCGAAACTGACACCCGTTAGCGCCCTATAACTGCAAGGTGGGGTATTCTTTGTTCTTCCTCTACTCCTTCCAGCATACTTTTTCATCAGTGTCGCTGACCGGTATAGAAAGAGATGAAAGGGCTTGATAATAATCGCCCAGCAACCAACACGTTTGTGCTCGTAATGGTACGAAGTCCGAAATTCTGTCGATGAAATACTTTTCATCTAAAAATAACACATGAGATGTAGGCACGCGTCGAACAGAAAATATGATCAAATATAATGCAGTTAACCTCATTGCTTCAGTCAATGCAGAGAAATATTCGGTTTATGTAAATCTCTATACATTCAACCAATTTTTCAAGAGAAATAGGTGAATTTTACATTCTGCGACAGTTGTGCGAACAATTCTCCATTCAACCATATAAATGTTTTTCACAAATAGTTTCGTGTGACTTCATTACATTGTCAAAAAAAAGTGACATACTCAACTATTTTGTGTTTTTGCATGTTTACAAATGTCAGTTCAGCTAGCTTTTGTTCGCAATTACGACAGCTCTATTCAAATACATGGTGTTTTCACCTATCGTCAGAAGAAAGTTGTGACGGCTATCCGAAGTACAAAATCTCTAGAGGGTCTTGTAACAAAAAAATGTTCTTCTGATTCAGGCCTACATGTTCATATAGTTGCTCATGTCGTCAAAGTCGAAAAGAAATGGCTGATTAATCGCAATTTTTAAGCAGAATTTTTTGCTGATTCATCACGATCTTGATATATCTCGATTAAGCGCGATTTTTGCTAAAATCGTGCATTTTGTAGAAAATCGACAACTGCTTACAATTTTAGTACAAATCGTGCTTAATCGAGATATATCGACGATGTTTCCTCAAGAGCGCGATGAATCAGCAGCGTAAAAATTGCGATTAATCAGCCATTTCTTTTCGACTTTGACGACATGGTCGGAGCTTAAACGATGAGCTTTTCTAGCTAAAAAATCTTCTGTACTTTTCTGACAATAGAAGAAAACACCGTGTATTTGAATGGAGCTGCCGTACTTGTGAATAAAAGGTAGCTGAACTACTACACAAACTGGAAATGTTCAAGTGCTTGGATCGTCTGCTATATTGCAGAATGTAAAATTCTCGTTTATCCCTTGAAAATTGACTAAACAAAGATTTGCCGAAAACAAAAATTTTTATGCAATAATAACACTAGCTCTAGTTAACTGGCGTATATCTAAAAAATGTCTCTAAAATGGTTGAAGCATATAACCAGCAACAGTTGGATCTAGTAGATCAAATGCCAATTGAATTTCATCTACAGTGTGGCTTTGTCTGATAATACCACAACATTTTTACTCGGGGAAAAAAACGACACTTCACATGTGGATAGACCAGACATTTCTCTATCTACTCATGTAAAAATCTTGTTAAAGTTCAGTAAGATTAATTAGTACTCATAAATTTTCCGAAAGCTCCTATCAAATGTCCATAATTAGTCTAAATGGATAATTATGAACAGTCGGTGTGTCTCGTTGGAGTGATTCTCGACAGTGCAACAAATATGGCTGGAAAAAAGTAAAACAACTTCTTTTCAACGCCAAAGTTTTATCTTTCTAATTAAAAACTATATCTCTATCTACCTTGTATAGTCCTTTAGACGGATCCTTGATTAATTAATTAGAAATTACGAAAATAAACGAGCATGGTCGTTTTCTCATTTTTCTTGTTTGGGGTAGTTATGAGCAGTCCGTGCAAGTCACACGCGATAAACAGAAAAGAAAACTTCCACCATCTTTTAGAAATCGATTTTAGCATGATCCTAAACGACAAAGGTGTTCAAAACCATGAGCTCTATCATGTATGTAAAAATCGGACAAAAAATAGGCCATTTTCACCGTTTCCGGTGGAGAATATGAATATTGTTATTTTGGACATACTTTTGTCGATTAAAACTGAAAGAAAAATTAAATAAGAACCTTAACTGACGAAAAAGTTCAACTTTTCATAAACGTGATACATTTCGCTTCATGCTACATCAAATTTATTTTTGAAAACTTCCAGCTATCTTTGTTGGACTGTCGAGAGTTACCCCAACGAGACACACCAACTGTTCATAATTATCCATTTAGACTAATTATGGACATTTGATAGGAGCTCTCGGGAAATTCATGAGTACTAATGAATCTTACTGAACTTTAACAAGATTTTTACATGAGTAGATCTTTCCACATGTGAAATGTCTGTTTTTTTCCGAGTAAAAATGTTTTAGGTACGCTCGAAATACTGTGAAAATTAAAAAGGCTGTCCAGAATTACACCAACTTACTCTAACATACAAATCAAATTAAAAGTTAGAACAAATAATTTTAAAGATTTCCTGTGAATATATTCGTTATGTGCTAAAATTCACAAAGTTACTAAGAGCATTAGTTCATTTTCTTTGTCTTATGTCTGACTTAATTCCTTTGTATTTTCTATATACAAAATGTACATGATTAAGAAAACGATATATTCGTTTACAAAAAAATAATAAATAACCTTTTCGCATTTTGACGATTTGTTTTTTTCACTGCTCTCTAATTTTCAATCTCAAATATAGTCATACATCTGAACCAAGTTCTATGGATAATCATTCTTCTCCTTCTTTCACTTGTTTGTTTGAGTAGAAATAATGTAACGATATTTAGACAAACTATTGAATAATGAAACATAGGCACGTTTCTTTCTTTACACTGATCCAACTATATATAGAGTATACGTCGTTTTTTTCAAACACTCAGAATAAGTAGCAAAGAACAATACGCACACTTACAAGGAGCGATCAAATGTTACACACCAAAACAAAATATCTAACGATAACTATGAGTTTAAAGAAAAATAGAACATTTCAGAAAACACACGTCTATATGAATATGTACACAACTTTATTGAGATTCAAGTTTATCGTGTTGCTTTTTTAAATCCAGCTTTTACTTTAGATTTGCTTGTCTTTAGTTTTTTCGCGGCTGGAGATGAAGCTTTTTTCGTCGTTGTCGATTTCTTCTTTGGTGAACTTTTTTTCGTAGCAGTTGAGGATTTCGATTTGGTTGATGAAGACGATGTGACGGCTTTCTTTTTTGGAGCAGCTTTTGGTTTTTCAACAGTTTTTGTCGAAGCGATTGTTTTGGGTTTTGATTGACGAGATGTTGTTGTTGTAGATGATGAGACTAAAATGAAGAGGTTGGGTCACGAAATGCCACCAGATCTTGGAAAAAGCACCAAGAGATCAAGATCTTGATTCTTGAAGTTTCACTAGGGGCGTTGTTAACAAAAAAGTTTTTAGTGATTAAAAATGAGATTGACTGCACTAGTAAAGTGCGTTCTAAATTTAACTATTTCTCGAGGGCTGTACGACTACATAATGGACTAAGTTACATCTCCGGTATTACATTATTATTCTTATTTGTTTCAGAACGACGCATCATACCGACTTCCGGGGTTTTTTCTCCACAATGATTGAGCATAATGGAAGAAACATCCATTGCTTTTGATATGTGGAAAAATATTGAGAAAATAATTTATTGTGGTTTGTTCGAAATCGCAGGTCAGGCGCTGTGGATTCATTTCAACATTCAATCTTTTACCATATTCGATTGAATGTCTCAATATTTTCGTGTAGACAATGAAATTTTTCCGTGTAGTCAAAGAATATGCACATGATATCATGGATACCATCGCCGTCGCCTAAACTGTTTGATGGTACAACACTTTATTTCTTTTGAGGCACGAGCATAGATATCTGGGACGGATTGAGAAAAAAATATATTGGACGAACTGAGAGAGAAGTGTTGGTGCGACGAACTGAGAAAAAAAGCCTCGTGGGACGAATTAAGAAGTCAATTTGGGACGACCTGAGAGGACACCCTTTAAAAGTATTTACCTGATTTAGCTTTAGATGTACCAGTAGCTCTTTTCTTTTTCTTTGGAGATTTTGAACGTGATTTTGATGGTGATGCTGAACGTTTCTTTGTACCTGTCGAGGACGTTGATGATTTTGGTTTTTTCGTTGCACTAGTTGTTGTTGAAGATTTCTAAAATATTTGAATAATGAATCGAGGACGATATCATTTAATAAGTTGATAACTTACCTGCTTCTTGGGCGTTCCAGCGGCATTTGTTGATGATTTTTTGGTTGAGNTTTTCTTTTTCTTTGGAGATTTTGAACGTGATTTTGATGGTGATGCTGAACGTTTCTTTGTACCTGTCGAGGACGTTGATGATTTTGGTTTTTTCGTTGCACTAGTTGTTGTTGAAGATTTCTAAAATATTTGAATAATGAATCGAGGACGATATCATTTAATAAGTTGATAACTTACCTGCTTCTTGGGCGTTCCAGCGGCATTTGTTGATGATTTTTTGGTTGAGGCTGCTTTTTTCGTCGTTTTCGTTTTACCCAGTTTAAAACTACCCGAAGCGCCAGTTCCTAGGGAAAATAAAATGAAAAGTTTTATTAGACTAGTTATACAAACTTGAAAAATCAAAATATAACGATAAGAAGCTTTTCAAGTATACACTGTGCTTGAGAACACAGACACATCTTCTTTTGTTAGATATGTCTTTATTGCAACTACAATAGGCTCATCTTTTTATAAATTCTATTGAAATAAATTAATAGAAAGTGTATAACTTTATTTTATTAGCGCAGTAATCCGTCATTCAAGAAATGTAAGGTTTCACATTTGATACCAACAAAAAAATGGCTGATTAACTCTTACCTTTTGTTTGTTTTAAAGAGCCATTTGCAATGGCAGCTTTCAACGCATACTTAAGGTGATTATTTGAATTAACTGAATTAACTTTATAATTCGCTTGAATATATTTCAAGATAGCCGATTTTGATGAACCTTGACGATCATTCAAATGTACTAGCGCTTGTTTAATCATAACTGAATATTTTGGATGATTTGATGGACTACTTTTCTTGCCAGCTTTCTTGATCGCTGTTGATGATTTTTTACCTTTTGTTGGTGATCCAGTGGCAGTATTTGATGAAGATCCAACAGCTGATGAGGATGTATTTGCTGGAGCTGAAGATGAATTACCACTTGTTAATTCAGTCATTTTGTGTATGGAACACGTAGAGAGATGAGTTGAGAATATGAATGTGGTTGTTATAAGAACGATTTGATGAGAGTATAAGGAAAGAGAAAGAAATGTCGATAGTACATGGCTATTTATAGTACGGGAGAGTAAAATCAGACTAGAAAAGCAGAACAGAATCAGACGTCAGATTCTGTGATTAAAAAAACCTACGAAGAACGATTATTGATTACTTTTATTAAAATTTCTCATTATTAGTTGAAATACTGTCAGTACTAAATCCTGGAAGTTATACAATTGTGTGAGATATGTTTAAATACTCACAGTTAGTACAGGCAGTAAACCTTTATGTTCACGTATGGAAGCTTAATCGTTACTCAAAGTTTCATGCAGTTTAGATCGAGTCCTCAAAAATGGCCTGTAGATTGAAACAGATAATCTAAATATGCATACAACAGCAATTAGCTAACAAGATTCATGGATGAAATAATGATAGCGTAGCTATGTTTCGAAAAGGCAGAACAACATTTTTTATGAAACAGTGTACAATGTTTAACCTGCATAACAGAATACCTTAACTTATCATACCTACATCAATTCTCCTCCTGAACCAAAGGTAACATTTGGACATCAGTATTGTATTAGAGACTCTTGTGTCCTCTTTCTTAGAAGATCAATAATATAAGACAATGCTGTTCGCAGTCAATTTGTTGACCACAGATATAATGCTAGCAATAGACATATGATAAACCAAGAGCACGATTAAGCCTAAGCAATTATGTGTCTACATGATCTTATAATCATCGAAATCATCCAAAAGTCGTTTTGGGATAGAAGCAGAAGTTGGGAGTGGCAGTATCACTCGTGTGAAGTCTGCGTCAATAATTCGTCAAAAACTTTGATTCTTGTCTGAACTGTATATCTGATTCAAGATTCTTTTCTTCTCTCTTCGCCAGATATGTTGCTTTACTATATGATGTGATCGAACCTCACATGGGACACCAACAATTTTTTTTCTGTTCTTGTCGATGATTTAAGCATGTGTATATGTAGAACCGTCATTTTTACGTTCTTATTTTAACTGATATGTGTTCTAGTCGAGTTTATTAAATACGAAATTAACTGAAAACCTGATTAAATTTCAAATAACAAATGTCATATTCAAATTCACAACACTTTTACCTCCGGATCCATCTAAATTTTATCTTAAAAACATTATTTTCTAACGAGTATTATCAAGATTTTGTGAAATGTTTGAGATGAAAAAAGCTTCAGGGTTATCAGTATTCGAGTTAAAATTCAACGAACTCTGATATTTTTTGAATTTTGTTTTCAAAATATTAAAGATAAAAGTGTCCTCTATCGAAACATATCAATTTTATATGAGAATTATTTGAAAATTCGAAGCTATTTTTGTTGTTTTGTAATGACAGTGCGAACATTAATAGAATAAGAGAAACTAAAATGGTCTTCATACAGGATCTCTCAGGTACATTTTTAAACTAACATTTTATATCATTTGTTCGATAAAACTTAGACATTTTCCAAAAATAATAAAAGAATTTAGTCATACTAAAAATTAGCATCAAACAAAAACTGTATAGAATATCACTATTTCGCTGTAAACGTAATGACATTAATGGTAACTGTATAACCTCGTTCATGTGCATCACATAGAATCAGAACAATTTTTATTTGGAAAAATTCTAGTGAAAAGTAGACTTGCAGTTTGAAAATTACTTACAATCTAAAGTGATTTCACTGTGGTTAACTTCAATTTTAAAATATT